AGGAATGAGTGTGGGAGTGAAGAGATCTGAATTTGGAACACTGCTATTAAACTTCTCATGAACATTCTTGAAAAAGAGGTAAACAGTGATTAATCCAAAGCTGACTGCAAAGGGATCTCACAAAACTGGGTGAATGGGAAATTCAGGGGCAGATGGAATTCAGTGTTGATAAGTGCAAAGTAATGCACGTGGAAAAATGTAATACTAACTATGATACAAAAATGATGTTGTCTAAAATAGCTGTTACCATTCAAGAAAGAGATCTTGGAATCCTTGCGGATAATTCCTTGAAAACATCTACTCAATATGCAGTGGCAGTCTAAAAACTAAAAAGCTAACAGAATATTGGGAATCATTAGGAAAGGAATAGATAATAAGACAAAATACCATATTGTCTGTATATAAAGTCATTGTATGCCCACATCTTGAATACTGCATGCAGATCTGGTCACCCCACGTAAAAAAGAGCTATAGTATTTTGAAAAGGTACAGAAAGGGCAGCAGAATGACTAAGGGGTAAGGAACAGCTACCATATAAGGAGAGATTAGCAAGACTGGAGCTGTGTCTACACTGGCAAGTTATTCCGGAAAATCAGCCGCTTTTCCGGAAAAAATTGCCAGCTGTCTACACTGGCCGCTTGAATTTCCAGAAAAGCACTGACAATCTAATATAAAATCATCAGTGCTTTTACGGAAAAACTATGCTGCTCCCGTTTGGGCAAAAGTCTTTTTCCGAAAAACTGTTCCAGAAAAGGACCAGTGTAGACAGCACAGTAGCGTTTTCTGCAAAAAAGCCCCGATCGCGAAAATGACGATTGGGGCTTTTTTGCGGAAAAGCACGTCTAGATTGGCCACGGACGCTTTTCCGGAAAAAGTGCTTTTCCGGAAAAGCATCCTGCCAATCTAGACGCACTTTTCCGAACATGCTTTTAACAGAAAACTTTTCCGTTAAAAGCATTTCTGGAAAATCATGCCAGTGGAGAAGTAGCCTGGGAATTTGCAGCTTGGAAAAGAAACAACTAAAGGGGGATATGATAGAGGTCTATAAAATCATGACCGGTGTGGAGAAAGTAAATAAGGCAATGTTATTTTTACTCCTTGTAACACAACTAGGAGTCATCAATGACATTACTAGGTAACAGGTATAAAACAAACCAAAAGAAATATTTCTTCACATACCGCACAACTTGCCCAGAGGGCTAGAAGGAGCATTGGTCGGATATAGCATGGCCATTCTGATGTTCTTATATAGAGCTTAAATGTATCTGCCTCCTGCTGTAACCCACTAGACCCCACTCCTCTTCCAGAGCTGAGACAGAGCCTAGGAGTCCTGGCAAGGGTCTTTCTCTCTCCACAGAGTTAGTAACAAAGTAAGAATATACATTAATATTTTAAGGCTAACCAGTGTCCCTTAAGTGACTTGCCACAAGATGTCAGAATATTTAGTGTTAGCGCTGAGGGGGTCTAATATTTATTTGATTTTCTTTCTTTTATATAGGAATTGGATACAGTACTCCTCTCAGCTAACTGCTAAGTTGTCTGCCAAAAAAAGTAAAGTTTTCCAGTGTCTTAGTAGCCCCTGTATAGAGATGATCTATGTGGGGGGCAGGGCGGATGGGGTTGGTCCCCCCGCATTTGGTGCATGGCTTGTACTAAGCATGCTCAGTAACACTGCTGAAGCCTTTGTCCTCATTATGTCCCACCATACTCTCACTCTCTTCCTCCTTCCCCACCTTGCCCCCCCCCAAATCTGAAATGGTGCCCCTGATGATGTAAACACCCTACCCATTTCCTTTTCATTTCACTCCTGGCTAATTTTGGAAGCTCTCTGCTCAGCTTCCTGCCTTTTAAGACTCTTTTTTACATGCCTAACTCTCCTAATACAATGCACGGGCTCTTTAATTCCATTTAAGGCCATTTAATTCCACTATGTAGCAGAGCATCTGAGACCCCCTTTGGGAATATAGCTCTTTGTTCTTTAATAACATCTCCTAGCACCCAAGCAAGGAATAGCATTGGCAGGAGAGTACTGATTCCACAAACCCTTACTAATGTTAGTAAACTATTCATGTAAGCAAGGTCTACTGATATAGGTAAGAATGTGAAGGATGGAGTCTTAACCCTGAAGATTCCTCTCCAATTCCATTCATAAAAGAGAAATGTATTATGAGAGAGGTCTTCTGATATCTTATTACATTTGCCTTATGAATGGTCCCCATCAGGGTTTCCCTGAAAAGAACTACAAGAAGTTCTTTTTTCTAACCCCTTGACATAGCATTCCATGCTAACAAGGATATACACTTGACTCAAACTGGAATACATAATGTGTTGTTAAGTGATTGTCAGTGGGGAAAAAAAAAAGCACTTTTCCATAGGGTTGCCAGATACTTTCACAAAACAAAGTTGTTGAGAAAAAAACCCAAACCAAAACAACAAACACACACACACCAAAAAAAAAAAAAAAAAAAAAAGAGTCACTGCACCTTTAAATCTCTCCATTCCTCCCACCCCTGCCAGACGCAGCAGGGAAAGAATGTCCCATGAGATCTTCCTTCTGAGAAAAAATGAAAATACCAGTATTTTCTGGGTTTTTTACCCGACAGAGGCCGCAAATACCAGACTGTCCGGGCCAATACCGGACACCTGGCAACCCTACTTTCCATAGTGAATAATTTTTCTTGCTGGGGCTAACACCATCAGTTTGCAAGGTGTTTATAAGTAGAAAATAAGATAGTATACTTATTATTATTGTTACTTATATTACTATAGTGCCTACAAGCTCTAGTTATGGAGTAACAGATCAGGATCCCATCGCGCTAGGCCCTATACAAACACAGAACAAAAAGGTTGTCCTTGTAAGAGTATCACAAGGAAGGTCTACATTAGAAGTACTACCTCAGTATACTGCCATAGCATACTTGAAGATGCTGTATACCAACAGAGAGTATTTTCCCATAGACATAATTACTTCACATCCATAAGAAGGGAAAGCGATGTCGGCAGCAGAGCATCTGACAACACAGCACCAGTGTGGACAGTGATTATGTTGCTGTAACTTGTGTTCTCAGGTGGAGGCAGTGGGAGAGTATCTTTTTCAAACTTCTGAGTGACACAAGTTAGAGTAGTATAGACCTACCACATAAGGGCTACGTCTACACTGGCCCCTTCTTCGGAATAGCCATGCTAATTTAGAACTTTGGAATAGGGAAATGCGCGGGAGATTTAAATATCCCCCCGGGATTTAAATAAACATGGCCGCCGCTTTTTTTCCGGCTTGGGGAAAAGCCGGAAAAGAGTGTCCAGACTGGCACGATCTTCCGGAATAAAGCCCTATTCCGGAGGATCTCTTATTCCTACTTTCAGTCTGGATGCTCTTTTCCGGCTTTTCCCCAAGCCGGAAAAAAAGCGGCGGCCATGTTTATTTAAATCCCGCGGAGGATATTTAAATCCTCCACGCATTTCCCTATTCCAAAGTTCTAAATTAGCATGGCTATTCCGAAGAAGGGGCCAGTGTAGACGTAGCCAAGCAGTTTAGAAGAAATTACAACTCTAAATCATAATCCTTAGATGTGAAGTTAAAATTTTGATCCTTATTCACTATGGGTATGTCTATGCAGCAACGTTATTTCGAAATAACAGTCCATATCTACACAGCAGGCAGTTATTTTGAAATAATACTGAAATACTGTCAAGCTGAAGGACTTCTTACTCTGACTCCTGTAACCCTCATTGTAGGAGGCGTAAGGGAAGTCAGAGGAAGAGTGCTCTATTTCTAGATAAGTGCTGTGTAGATGCTCCCAATTTCAAAATAAACTATTTTGAAATAATCTGCACAATTGATATAGCTCAATTTGCTTAGCTTATTTTGAGTTAAGCCCTGCTGAATAGACGCACCCTATCAGATCACAGACTCTGGGGTAAGAATATATTGTAATAAAACTTGAACCTTGATTTTAAACATTTTTATACAGAATCATAGAATACTAGGACTGGAAGGGACCTCGAAATAAACAAAGGAAAATGTACGGGTAGAAGACATTATCCTTTGGAATCTATTTATGAAAATGTATTTATCCCATTTCTGCACAATTTTTGCATTCCTCATGCAGAACAATGTCTAACTTGCTTAAATGTAAAATGAATCTTGAGAGCTGATAGTTGTTACCATTTACTTGATGTCTTCTTCCTTTTAAAATTGTTATGTTACCCTCTGTCTGCTTTTGATGATTTTCTCTGAACTCCGTAAAATGTGAAAAAATGTAATATTGTCAACTAGTGCCTCTTACTATCACTTCAACATTCAACATAAGTTTAAATGTAGAGAAGAGTGTGTATGAGGATCAATATATGCAACCTGTTTAAAAGATTATCTAGCATTTTTAAGTTTAATATCTTAATCTATTTGTGGATTTGTAGATAATACAAATTCTTGTTTATAGATGAATCCAAAGAAAATAATAATATTCTGACTTCTAATAATGTCAGAGATAAGGCTGAAAACTTAAAAGGTTGTGTATCAGTATGGGAAAGTTAAGGGCCAGATCCTGGTGTAAATCAAGCTGTACCAATTTGAACCATTGGAGGATCTGGCCCTACCTGTCTACACACTAACAAATCATCCATTTGCCCAATAAAGGTCAACATCCATGTTCATTGCTAGACCTTTTATAGATTTGCATTGAGATTCATTTGACTATACATTATGTATTTTTGTTCAGCGCCAAGTACAACAACATTCAGGTCCATGATAGGTGCTACAGGAATTCATGGAAAATAATAATATACTCTAGAATATAAGCTGCTTTTGTAGCAACTAAATAGTAATATGTTGTTAGGAGAACTATATATATTATAACAGTGCTTAATGAACCCAGTTTAGATTGGGACCCCTTTGTGCTAGACATATAAAAATACATAGTTGCCGCCTACAATAATCTACAATACAAATACATTCCTATGAAAATATTGTCATGGCAGGAGCCACCAGGTGGCAATGTTCCGTATACTTTTGTAAGGTCTTTTTTTTTTTTTAGTGTGCTAGTGTTGTTCAGCCTCAGAAGAAATGCTTGTATTGATGTTAGTTTTGTGATTCAGTTTGTTTTTGGAGAAGCTGTAAGCAAGCAGCAGAAGAATTTGCTCTCTACCTTAATATCTCTAATTAGTGTTACTTCTTGAGGTAAAGTTGTTCCCTGAGAACTCTGTGGCTAAGACTCCTAGAAGATTGTCTGTGTTTGTTTTTTGTGACAACCTCTGTCCAACACCTGGTGAACATAGTGTAAAATAAATGTTACACTAAGAATATTTCCAGATCTCATGTCACTAGTTTCTCCTCCAATGGAAAGTAGATTTGAAAAGCTCTGACATCTGCCAGGTGTCAATAGAGGAGCAAAGTTAGGTAAGAAATGTGAAAAGACTTTTTCTGTCAGGTATATGTTGCACTCATCTCCCCTAATACACACTTCTTTTTTAAAAAGGCATGCTCCAGTTTATTTTTCTTTACAAAATATACATTTTCAAGAATGAAAAAAAATCCATAGAAAACAATCCTCTGAAAAGGACAATTGACTGGATAAACAGGCAATGAGGTCCAGTTTCCTTTTATAATGCAGTCCTTGGACTATTTTGACAACGTAAAAGGAGCCATTAAGCCAGCACAGCTGACAATCAAGGTCAGTGTACCTGATGTCAAAGGTTCCCTGAATGGAGATGGCACTACAGCTGTAAAGGCAGCTCCCGCCAAAGCTCCAGAGTAGGTGGTACAGGTCCAGTACTGCTGAGCTCTGACTATTCTTGATTGCAAGAAGAGCTTGTTGGGTTCTCCTAGGCTACGTCTACACTGGCATGATTTTCCAGAAATGCTTTTAACGGAAAAATTTTCCGTTAAAAGCATTTTCAGAAAAGCACGTCTAGATTGGCAGGACGCTTTTCCGCAAAAGCACTTTTTGCGGAAAAGCGTCCGTGGTCAATCTAGACGCGTTTTTCCGCAAAAAAGCCCCGATCGCCATTTTCACGATTGGGGCTTTTTTGCGGAAAAGAAATCTCTGCTGTCTACACTGGCCCTTTTGCACAAAAGTCTTTCGGAAAAAGACTTTTGCCCGAACAGAAGCACCATAGTATTTCCGCAAAAGCACTAACAATCTTACATTAGATTGTCAGTGCTTTTGCGGAAATTCAAGCGGCCAATGTAGACAGCTGGCAAGTTTTTCCGCAAAAGCAGATGATTTTGTGGAAAAACTTGCCAGTCTAGACACAGCCTTACAGCTTAGCATAAGACAGAGCAGTATTGACAATGTTCTAACTTGGGGCTTAGGCCAGGAATAGGGGAATCATAAAAGTGACTTAAAGCTTCTGTTCCTTTGTTCCTGTTTTAAGGCAGAATTGAGAACTGGGCTAAGGTATTATGTGTCTCAGATGGCATGTACAATATTCATTGCTATGGTAATGGTTACCATAGGTTGTACCTTTTATAGAACAATAAATATTGTGTAGTCAATTTATGAGCATTACTTGCATTTAAGTAAAAACTGCAAGAACATAATAACGGCCATACTGGAACAGACCAAAAGTCCATAGCCCAGTATCCTGTCTGCCGATAGTCGCCAGTACCAGAGACCCCAGAGGGAGGGAACACAACAGGTAATCCTCACATGATCCTGTCACCCATTTCCAGACAAAACAGAAGCAAGGGGCACCATTCCTACCAATCCTGGCTAATAGCCATTGATGGATCTAACCTCCATGAATATATCTAGTTTCTGGTGTGTTTTTTATAATCCTGTTCAAGTCCTAGTCTTCACAACATCCTCTGGCAAAGAGTTCCATGGGTTGACTGTGCACTGAGTGAAGAAAAACTTCCTTTGGTTTGTTTTAATCCTGCTCCCTATTAATTACATTTGGTAATCCCTAGTTTTTATATTGTGGGAATAAGTAAATAACTTTTCCTTATTCACTTTTTCCACCAGTCATTATTTTATGGACCTCTATCATATCCCCCCTTAGGGTGCATCTACACTGCAGAGCTTAACTCAAAATAAGGTATGCAAATTGAGCTACATCAATTGTGTAGCTTATTTTGAAATTGGGAGCGTCTGTGGAGAGAGCCTGATAGCGGTTACTTATCTCTACGAAGGTATGGGAGATACCTGAGTTGGCCTTCTTCTCCTTCAAGAGGTTACATGCTGCCTGTTTTCTTCCTTGTCCTGTACTGCCCTGACTGGCTCTTCTGCATGCTGTACCTGCAGGATTAAACACTGCCTTCTATCAAGGAAGTCTTCATCCTCTCTGATAGAATGTAGGGTTGATACTTGGGCTTCAACTCCTCTAATTTTTTCTTCCAAAATGGTGGCCAGCTTGCACTTAGTGCAGATGAAATCCCTTCTTTCTTCCGGGAGGAAGACAAACATGGCACATGATGGGCAGCTAACAACAGCGGCCCTATCACCATCCATACCTGCCTTCCTTCTGAGAGATTCCTCAGTTGTTATGAAATGCCTCCTTGAAGGACAAGAGTGTAGTAAAAAGATTTTAAAGAATGGCGAGTGTATCTCACCCCCTTCCCAACTCCCTCTCCAAACTCCCTGTTAACAGCCCCTGTTCCCAAGCTCCCTGGTTGCTGACTCACTCCTTTATAAAGCCCTGGATTGCCTGATAGTCCCTCCCCCTGATTAAGGCTCAGCCAATAAGCAGAGGGTTCTAAATTTCAAACCTGATTAGAAGCTCACAGTTTCCCCCTGCCACAGCACTCACTCTGTGAGCGGGGTGGGAGAGAGGGGGAAGGGAAAGGACAAAAGAAAAAAAAAACCCAAACAGCCAAACACAAGCTCAGCACACAGCAAGAAGACCCCAAATACAAACACACACAACAGACAGCCACTTCCCTCAAGGATCCTGTATTAGCTTCCTCCTTTATCTGGAGAACTCCCTCGCCAAACTCCCTGTTAACAGCCCCTGTTTGCAAGCTGTATGCAAGTTGATCCTACATTCCTTGAACGCTAACAACTCCCATTGACTTGAGCAGAATTGCAGAATCAGGCCAAAAATCTAGGAAACTATTCAAGCTGACACGGAGTACACTTTGCTTCCAGCTAATCATATCACACTGCTTTAAGATTCAGAATGTAAATCATGCACATTTGTATTGATTAACTATTTTGAATTTTGCATATTATGTAAAACCAGTACATATAAATGAAAATGAAAAATCAACATGTGTTAGTACCATGACAACACAATTTACCCTGATTTTAGACTATCTTCTATAGATTAAGCAGTACCAAATTATAGACTCATAGACTCATAGACTTTAAGGTCAGAAGGGACCATTATGATCACCTTGTCTGACCCCCTGCACAGTGCAGACCACAGAATCTCACCCACCTCTCCCAGAATAATCCTCTCACCTATATCTCAGATATTGAAGCCTTCAAATACTTTGAAGACCCCAAGATGCAGAGAATCCTCTAACTGTGATCTGTACCCCATGCTACAGAGGAAGGCGAAAAACCTCCAGGGCCTCTGCCAATCTACCCTGGAGGAAAATTCCTTCCCAACCCCAAATATGGCGATCAGCTAAACCCTGAGCATGTGGGCAAGACTCATCAGCCAGACACCCAGAAAGTTCTCTAGTAATTCCTATCATCCCTCCATTGACCTATTTCCCACTGATAATGAATGGTCAATTAGTTACCAAGATCATGTTATCTCATCAAACCATCCCCTTCATAAACCCATCGGCTACATCTACAATGGCCCCTTCTTCGGAAGGGGCATGCTAATTTTGAACTTGGGAATAGGGAAATCCGCGGGGGATTTAAATATCCCCTGCGGGATTTAAATAAACATGGCCTCCGCTTTTTTTCCGGCTTGGGAAAAAGCCAGAAAAAAGCATCTAGACTGGTGTAATCCTCCGGAATAAAGCCCTTTTCTGGAGGATCTCTTATTCCTACTTCAAAGGAAAAAAAGCGGCGGACATGTTTATTTAAATCCCGCGGGGGATATTTAAATCCCCCGCGGATTTCCCTATTCCCAAGTTCAAAATTAGCATGCCCCTTCCGAAGAAGGGGCCAGTGTAGACGTAGCCATCTAGTTTAATCTTGAAGCCAGATAGATCTTTTGTCCCCACTACTTCCCTTGGAAGGCCGTTCCAGAACCTCACTCCTCTAATGGTTAGAAACCTTCGTCTAATCTCAAGTCTAAACTTCCTACTAGCCAGC